CCCTAAACCCTAAACCCTAAAACCCTAAAGCCTTAAACCCTTAAGCCCTAAACCCTAAACCCTAAAGCCCTAAAGCCTTAAACCCTTAAGCCCTAAACCCTAAACCCTAAACCCTAAACCCTTCGCTAAAGTCTAGACCCCTAGACTCCTAGACCCTAAACCCTAAACCCTGAAACCCCAAACCCTAAAACCCTAAAGCCTTAAACCCTTAAGCCCTAAACCCTAAACCCTAAAGCCCTAAAGCCTTAAACCCTTAAGCCCTAAACCCTAAACCCTAAAGCCCCAAACCCTTAGACCCTAGACCCTAAACCCTAAACCCTAAGCCCTAAACCCTAAAGCCCTAAAGCCTTAGACCCTAAACCCTAAACCCTAAACCTTAAAGCCCTAAAGCCTTAGACCCTCAACCCTAAACCCTAAAGCCCTAAACAAAAAGGCTAGGCCCGACGGCCCAAGCCTGAAACCGTAAGCCCCGAGGCTGAACGTCGTCAATGCAGTTTTCGTGCAGCAGACGATGAAGACGGCTACTTTTTGGGATTATATGTTCCCTTATAGAACTGAAAGTGTACACTTTTTGGGGCTTATGAACTCAGCAACTAAGGCCAGCTCAGATGAAGATCTTGCTTTCAAGCAGAAGGAGAAAGATGTGGTCCCGGCAGAACGGGTTCAGAGTTGAGAGTTCAGGTTTTCCACGGTTTTCTGGCTGGTTTCGGGGGATCCTCGGGGTGATTGGGTGAGGGGCTTCTGGAGTTAAGGTTTAGGGTTTAGGGTTTAGGGTTTAGGGGTTTAGGGTTTAGGGTTTAGGGTTTAGGGGTTTAGGGTTTAGGGTTTAGGGAAGGGTTTGGGAAGATCGAGTTTCGCCTTTAGAGGCTTGTAGGTTGCTGACTTGCATGTGCGACCAAACAATTCTTTCCTTGCATCGTGTGTAGCCGGCCGGCAAAAGATCTAAGTCGAAGGTTCAGGGTTCAGGGCATACCTGCTCCCAATGTCTTACTTCTGGCAGTTTTGGGTGCAAGAGACAATGTGCTGTCGACGTTTCTCGCCATCGAAGGTGGCCATGTACACTCGCAAAGTCAAGAAGCTCTTCCAGACGATTGATATATCGGGAGACGGCACTATCAACATCGAAGAGTTTGCCAAGCTGGTTCAATCACCAAAGATGAAGTTCTGGATGAGTCAATTAGAGTGACTCCGCTCAAACAAGACACGCACACCGTAAACCCCATTAACGTGCACTTCTTTCATCGAGTCGCCTTTGCCTTCAGGGTCATGCTTGGGCAGCGTTGCTACGCTGCCCTCTGTGTTTTGCTGTTCTCTCTTCTTCTCTGAACGATGAGGCTGGAGTACCACGACTTGCTCAGCCTATTTGAGTTCCTGGACAACGGGGATGGAGTTGCCAAGCCGCACTAGGCGCCAATACGAGTCTTAGCCATGTCAACTTGGCAGACGGCCATCTTGCTGCCGTTGAGTAATGCTTTCGAATTCAGCTGTTATGCTCCATGACAGCCAAGGAGATTACTCTCATGGAGTTTATTGAAGGTGGGACCGGAGTTCAGCATTCGTCGCACTTTCTACTTAAGACTCGACTTTCCGATACTTGATCAACGGGTGAAAACCTCAACGCTTTGTGCCGTACACCCAGCATCGCACGCGACGAGACTGCCAAACTGAGATTATATCGTATGACCGACTATAGTCGGAATATATGCGAGGGTATAAGGGTTTAGCTGAGTTACCGTGAGTTACCCTTACTTGAATAGCATGAGGCTACCAAGTATTGCTCAGGGGCTTTTGGTTTATTTCAGGTCTCTCAAGTCTGGATCCCTTCCTGCATCTTGGAGGGGGCGTAGAATTTTGAGGTCGGAGCAATTCATATTCATAATTATATGTATATACACGCATACAGCATACATATGTATACATATATATATACATATATATATATATACATATTCCCTCGAACACTTAGTATACAATTAGTATACATACCCGCCTTTGGCTAGTTATGCTATAGTATACAATGACCTGTTCTCATTGTTAAGGCACCTGTTTTAGGGTGTCGTCTAGCTTCTAGAGCTGACGCTTAAAAAAGGCAAACTGAAGCTTCATTGACACTGGGCTGGTGCAGGGTTTGGGTTTAGGGTTTAGGGTTTAGGGTTTAGGTGTAGATAGTCACCCTAAACCCTAAACCCTAAACCCTTTCGGGTTTAGGGTTTAGAGAATCTTAGATAGTGTAGATTGTGTAGATTGTGGAGGCCCGGGTTGGGGTGTTCCCATGCTTCTCCCTCCGGGCTTGGGGTTGAGGGTTGAGCGTGCGATGCAACATCAAAGGCTCAAGAGATACGGTTGATGATGTGAACCCTGCATTAACCATAATAAGGAAGAATCTTGGGTTGGCGATACTCTACAGTGATCTTCATATTTGATCGCTCGCTGCCTCCCATTACCAGCACACCTTAATAAGGAAGATACCGAAATTCCCATAGCTTAGGGCCCTTAAGGTAATGCAGGACTTATATCATCAACAGCAGTAATGCTGCGTCTGAGTATTCGAACAGAAGCGGTTTGAGGACCATGGCAAGCAAAAGAAAGCCCCGTCTCGTAATTCGGACTCCGGTATTGCACCCCTAACCCTCCACACCCTAAAGCCTAAACCCTAAACCCTAAACCTTCTTCAAGCCGTTTCCACCAAACCCTCAACTCCAGACCCTAAACCCCCAAACCCCTAGACCCCTAAACCCTAAAACCCCTAAATTCTGAACCCTTAAACCCTAGACCCCTGAATCCTAAATAAACTCTTTGTGAATTTCGCATCTTTTCCAGGGCCTGTATCCTGAACGACATGCTTGTAGGGAAGGGTATCTGCAAGGTCATGTTCAGTCTTTAATTCATGTATCTTGACTCTGAATTGAATGCGCTTTATAGGCTCAGATCGGAAAAGATTGCATTCGACGTCGCTGTGATCCCCGTTCCAAACCTGTAAACCTGGGCACGCAAACCCCTAAACCCTCAAGCAGAGGAGCGTCACGCCTGCGTGGCGGCGCGAAAGCCTTGGATGTGTGGCGATTGGAGACAAAGTTGGAGGCGGCATTTAGGGCTCATAGGATTAAGGGTGCAGGGTTTTGGGGGAAGTTTGCGCCAAAGTTGGGAAACCAGAGACGTGAATGTTCAGCGATGCTTGGCATCTATTTAGGGCCCCAGTAAGACCGACTTTCTGAAGGAAAGGCCAAGACATCAAGGATTCGAGTATCTGGCTCAATTGGAGCAGCAAGAGTTCCCCAGCCCTGAAAGAGCCTTAAACCCTGCACCCTAAACCCTAAACCCTGAACCCTAAACTCTAAATCCTACACCCTAAACCTTAAACCCTGAACCCTGAACCCTAAACCCTAAACCCTAAACCCCACACCCCGAGACCAAGAACCTCGAAACCCTAGATCCCTGATATGCCTCCAACAAAGCACTGAATAGGGTGTAGGGTTTAGGATCATATGCCGTGGAGCACTACTCCAACGATTCTCACAGGGATGCTAAAGGGGCCCCTGTGGAGGGGACCCCTGTGGGTTGCACTTTGCCGAATGGCCGCAACACGCCCATTTCGCTAAAGTCCAACCCACAGAGTCCCAATCACAGGGCCCCCTAAACCCTGAACCCTGAACCCTAAAAGCTAAACCCTAAACCCTAAACCCCTAACCCCTAAGCCCCTAAACCCCTAAAACCCTAAGCCCTAAACCCTAAACCCTAAACCCTAAGCCCTATCACGCCTGTGATATTAAGGAATCGAAATTCAGCCCGAAGCCCGTAAGCTCACGAGGACCTCAGGGCGCAAGTGCCGAAGTCGAGTTCTAGCGAGGAAGAAATGAGCAGAAGCGACCCGAAACCCCACGGTTTAGGGTTTAGGGTTTAGGGTTTAGGGTTTAGGGTTTAGGATAAGCCCTTAAGCCCCAATTTGTTGGAGGATTTCTGTAAAAACTCTAGAATTAGGGTCTGAGGTCCTTTCAAGGGTTCGTTTAAGGTCGACATCAGGCTTCTATGAAGGGTTTAGGGTTTTAGTCAGGTTTAGGGTTTGTGTGTCTGTTTTGTTGGTAATATGGAAGCCAAAATAACTACAAATATTACTGTTAGGGTTCCTTATTAACATAATACCATTAACATAATACCATAAAAGGAGCCCAGAAACCCGATTTTCAATGACTAAGGCCCCATACATTGGGTTTTGTGGCTTTTAGAAATCTTGGGGGCCTTTAGAAACGTGCCGGGAAGGAAGGCCCCTGGCACCCCGAAGTCGGTGCGACATTACCGCCTTGTGGCTTGGTCCCTATGTATGTAGTTATAGTACCTTCTACACCCTAAGCCCTAAACCTTAAACCCCTAAACCCTAAGCCCTAAACCCTAAACCCTCCACCCTAAACCACTACACCCTACTCTGGTTTTCATCATCAAGGCCCCGAAAAAAGCCAGATGAGCAACCCCCATACAAGCAAATTCGACTTGTTCAGGCTCCTGTGGCTCTCTTCTGGACCCGGGATCCTCCTCAAAACGCTAAAGAACTAAACCCCTAAACCCTTAAACCCCTAAACCCCTAAACCCCTGAGCCCCTTAAACCCCAAAACCCCTAAACCCTTAAACCCTAAACCCCAAGACACTACAGAACGCACTGGCAGGCTCTTCTGCGGCAACCTCAGTGAGATGGCGGAAGCTTCGCAGAGCACCAGTGCTCTCGATGCGATCGTGCTGATGAAGGAGCACCAGGACCTCGTTTAGGTTTAGGGTGGTTGGGGTTTTGGGTTTAGGGCACAGGGTTGGGGAATGGGGCTGGATGCTCAGACGACGCGTTCAAGATTGAAGGCTGATGGTTATGTAATGGTTGGGTGTTCAAAAAATTCAACACTGCTCTGAAATTGTTGGCGCAGGGCCCTAGGATGGAAATCTGAGTATGGTTGTTGTTGTTTCGTGTTTTCATGATTGTGCTTTTCCCTGATGCTAGTTCTTCTGCTGCTACCACTCCCACTGCCACTGTCAGTACGGCCCTCGAATCAAACACCAAAGATTCGCGCAACAGAGTCGCAGTACCAACCGGTTGAAGCACCATCGGAACGGGCAGTCCTTGGCATTCGTCATGCTTTCGTACGCATGAAGGTTCTTTGCGCCTATCTCCTTCTGTCAGTCCGTCATCATTTGCATCCTATACCGAGTCTGGATGAGAAGCATATCGCACATGCTAGATGTTCTCCTGTACTGCAGTATGCAAGCAAGAAGTCTTTATCTCGACCGAATTAAGCCGAGCGGTGCTTTCATGAGCCAGTGCATGGAAGCAGCGATTCTGACCGAACTCCGGTGTTCGGCTGTGCAGCCTTCCCCCAATTCGGGAAGCGTGGTCCAGTGTGTGGATCGTATCTACCATTATCGCCACTGCGACGCTGATTACTACGACCGCTACTGTTACCAGAGGTGCTGTACTGCTGCTTCCCCTGCCACTGCTGCCCGTGACGACTGCCACAACGACTGTGAAAATGAATTCAGCCCATATGGTGGGCATGGGGGGAGTTGAAATGCTGCAAGACAGGACAAGGAGGACGCGCTCGGGGGTAGCACTCCTGCTCCATGCACGTCTGTTTCCTTCGAGAACCTGACGATCAAGGCGCGAAGACCATCATGCGAAGACTATTGTTGCTGCAGTACGCTTTGCAATTAAGGGCCCTAAGTCTTTACTTACTGTATTTGAGCATGACATTCTCGATAGGGCCACGGATCACGAGGATGACGATTGCTGCTGCTACTGCGGGACACCAGTAGAGGCCCAAAGGTGCCCCTGTCTTCTCCAGGCATTCAACATCACCACAAAGGTGAACATCAGTGACAGCCGATCCGGAGATCAGTTCAGCAGACTCTGGTACTACCAGACCTGCACCGAGTTTGGCTGGTATCAGACGTGCACGAAGGGAAGCAACTGCCCCTGGACCCAGGGCTACAACACCGCCGAGTGGAATTTGAAGCCTTGCCAGCTTCTCTTCGGGATTTCTCCGGAGCAGGTTCAGGAGCACTTTAAGGGTTTATAGGGTTTTGGGATTAGGGTTTAGGTCCTTTAGGTTTTTGTTGTTCAGGGATGAGGGACTAGGTTTTAGGGTTTGGGGTTCAGGAGAATATCCGGAAGACCAATGAATTCTACAAGGGCATTCTGCACCTTGGCTTCCGGAGGTGGATTGCGCGCCCCTCAAAACCCCAACAGCTCTAAAGCCCTCGGAGACTCGCCTGTCTGAAGTCTGAGTGGGTTTATCAAGTTTTATAAAGGTCTGCGAATGTGCTGGTCTAGCAGTCTAGCAGGTACCTGCAACATTTTGGAGCGCAAGATTTCAAGGGCCTCATGGTCATAGAAACACTTAACTTATAGAGCACCTGTAGAGACCAGAGAGACAAAGAGAGAGAGAGAGAGAGAATGTCTGTGTGTGTAGCTTTTAGTGGAAGTTTTTTAGGCCCTTTAGCCCTTTAGAGCCTCAGGTATCCCAACACCACCCGCACCATCTTCCCGAACGGCGAAGTGGATCCCTGGCATTGGGAGTCGGTCCTGGAACACCCGAACCCGGAGATCGAGACCATCTTCATCAAAGGGGCCTCGCATTGCGAGTGGATGACGCTGGGCCTGCGTGTTCAGGCTTCAGGGCCTTTAGGGCTTCAGGAAGTGGGAGCTTAGAAACTTTGAGGAGTGAAGCTCGCCAGCTAGTCCTACCCAACGCATTCCTGGTAACACTACAACGTTCCGTGGGGAGGGGTTCGATCCGGAGTCTTCGCACAAGGTCCTCTCTTAGTCACCAGCTGTGCTGCTACTGCTACTGCTGCTCCCCGGCGACGACTGCTGCCACCACCACCGCCGCCGCCGCCGCCACCACCGCCACCACCGCCACCGCCACCGCCACCGCCACCGCCACCACAACGACGACCAACACCGCCCGCGCGACCACGGACCACCAGCACCAGCACCAGCACCAGCACCACCAGCACCACCACCAGCACCAGCACCACCAGCACCACCACCACCACCACCACCACCAACAACAACAACAACCAAAAACAAAAACAACAACAACAACAACCACAGCAGCAACAACAACAACAACAGCAACAGC